AGCACCATTCCCACTGAGCGTCAGTGTTACAACACAGACTTTTCAGCCTTCAGACCTACCAATCTCCGACTCAGAAGACTTCAGTGACAACAAATTTGTAGAAACAGATCTTTTCAAAATTAAGTTGTATGTGTGGTCATTCTTCCTCTTTGCAAATTAAGAGATTGGTAAATAAGAATATGGCCTAGTATTCCATGTCAGGATAGACATGTGTCTTCAAAACCTAGAGTTTATCAAAAGTGCATTCATTTGATAAATAGTTACTGAGTACCTGTTATGACTATTCACTGTCCCAGGAGCCAGGAATACATCAATCAAGAAAAAAAAAAAATCTTTTAATGGAAGGAAGGAGAAGGCATGGGAGCCAGAGAAAGGACTGAAAATTGGCTTCTTGCAAGAAGGAACTACAAGCGTGTATTTCAAATGTGAATGTTTTCAGTGAATCCTAACTGCTCCAACTGACCCCTCCCTCCCTCTCATCTATTCATCCATCAATATATACACACATATTACCTATCTCTGTCCCTTTTCTGACCCAGGTTGGAATTTCTCACTCACAGTTTTAGTTTTCCCACAGGAAGTTGAACAATAAAGGAGTCTTAATAAAGCTAAATTTAATGCACATGTGATTAGTTATTTAGCTGCTACCACCAATACTTTAGCATATGTTTAATCACCTTCTTCACCACTATTGTGACAGACAAAACACAAAAGACTTCGATCAAAAATAATGCTTTTCGAAAGCACTCTATGCTACTTCTCCACCTCCAGTTCTGCCCTGGGAGTCTTTATAAGTTAGAGGCAGGAGGAAAGAGGAGCAGTTATCCTCCCTACCACTATTTTCTAATATAGCACAATTATAGTCACTAGTTCTAAAGACTACATGCTGCCATGATACTTGTTAAAGTCAGATCCAAAGACTTGTAGAGAAGGTCGCTTAAGGTCACAGAGTTTTTCTTTGCAGATTCACGAGAACCTGACTATATCACTACATCATTCCTCACCTGAACACCTAGTGTGGTGCTGTGAAGAGCCAAAACTCACACCTTCCTGTTTACCTGAAGCCTTTCTTCAGTGCAAGAAAAAGTGGCTTCATTTCACCTTTCAAACTGCTAAGTTTTTCTGATTCCTTGATAGGTACCCACACAGCATATTCCATTTTTCCAATTAGGTTCATACTTCAGATGAGTTATGAAGTACTCTCTTAAGAGCCATCCCAGATCCTACAGACATCCAAAGTAGCAATATTTTTCAAAGTAATAAAATATAACATAAATTAATGAGAACATGCTTAATGTCAGCACTACTGTGATTTGCTCAATACATAAATAAGTATTGGTATCTTTGAAATCTAAAACACGTTTTTTAAAAAAGTCATCTCACAGCTAATTGTCATTCTTGGAGGGTGATTCTTACTGGTAAATAAGTGCATTGACTTACAATATGCTTTCTTCTGATCCTGGAGGTGGAGCTGGGGTGCCACCTCTAACCACTGATATCAGTTTGGTGCCCACTAAATTAGAATGTAATTTAGTTTCTTCTTCTAAACTACATGGTAGGAGGGAAAACTTACCCAAACAATAGTTACTATCATGCATTTATGATAACCAAAGGAACACAGCTCTGAAGAAACAAATGTCAGAAAATGGCGACATGAAAGCCTCAGCTCACAACAGGAAAACCAGCAAAAGGTGGAAAATGGTGAAGTTGGAAGTGGGTAAACATGGTAGAAGGGAAAAAACTATCAATCCTCTTAATGGTGAAAAGCCAAGCAATAGTCCTGGAGAGAGTAGGAAGAATTGGATAATCTGGGAGAAAATTGGGGCAATTGGGATATAAGGGGAATTTGGTGAAGCAAAGTAATAGAATAAAGGAATTCAATTCTTTCAAAACACAAATCCATATGCTTTCACTGACTACCTCATGGACAACAATGTCTACCTGCATACATCTGTGCAAAGACAACCAACCATCATCAGGCAGTTAACCCACTGACTGAAAGGTTATTACTTTATCTTCTCAATTTCAAACATAACTGCTAAGGAACATATCAGAAGACTGTGTCCTTACACTCGATTTCCAAAAACTTGCAGAGAAAGGTTAATTATGCATTTGCCCTCCTCTTTTGGCAAGGAATTCCTCCATTTTGTTCAATTCTCAAGTATAGAAAACCAATGTACAAATTTCATTCCTATGAAACAACCTACCATAAATCTTACTGTTTTCTAGGAAAGAAGAAACTGTATTATAGACACAATCTTAAAACTGATGTAACTGTTTCTTAACTTTTAATAAACTTTTTTCATCACCCTCACTACTTCTACATGTCCTGTCTGGATGCATCCACATGGCACATAAGAATGTAGATTTTCTATTTATCAGGAACTACAACGATACTGCCTTACCTTGAAGCTTATTCATTTAAAAATATCCTCAAGCAACTCTGTGATCATCCTTACTAGATCTGAAGTAAATATGTGCTGCTATGAAAACATCTGATAAGCACAGGCACTAATCCAAGAAAAAAATAAAAGTTTAAGTATCACTGGTATCATCACAGAAACAGAAACTAACATTTAAACATCTGACTACCTTAAATGTTTCTAAGAAATCTGATTTATGCTTAATTTTTACCCTCTGAATTAAAAGCATCTATTAAATGAGCAAGTCCCAACATATTGTATCAAAAAAATAAATCCAGTGAGTTTTAATATATACAATCAGGGATTTTTGGTGGTAGGTTTTTTTTTTTCTTCTTCTTCTTTAAACTACATAGGTCATTTGTCATTAATGCAAGAGTAAACTACTCTACAAGCAGGAAATGTAAATTTCTTAATGATGAGCCTTTAAATATTTACCTGGGCAAGCAAACAAAATACACACACACACAACCACAACAAAAAATGTTTCATAGATAATTAACTGTTCCCTACAATCAAAGAGAAGACCATGGATTTGATAATACCTCTCTGAGATACCTGAAGGCTTTTGTGGCTGTCATTGATTTGGCAATATGGCTTTAAAAGACTGACTTTCACATAGCCTCTCAGATGGTCATTACTAAAACTTAGATCTCTACAATCCAGTACATATGCATATCCTTGAAGCAAAAGTTTTACAAAACTATATTGGATGATACATTCATGACATTTTCCATTCTGTTCTGTTTCATATAATTAGAAGGGGCAAAAGGCAGTAACTTACTAATTACAGAATGTGCTATCAAAGCAGTTTGAAAATCACTGATAAACACAAGATGCATGCTGAAGGGCAGGGTAAGAGATCATCTTACCTGATGAATAGCTTTGGTTAATGCTACTCAGAAGCTACTACTGCAGTGTTTTCCTATTCCCTTCTACTCCCTAGATACTACCCTGTGATAACCTTTCCTTCAAACAAAAAAGGATGGAGGGAGGACCCCTGAAGTAATTAGAAGACGCCAACTGACAGGCAGGCTGTGGTGGTGCAAGCCTGTAATCCCAGCTAGGCGGGATGGGGAGGTAAAAGGATGAGTGGAAGGGGAGATCCCCCTACAAAAGCTCTAGACTCTCTCTGGAAAATAAACTAAAACAAAAAAGGGCTGGGAGGCATGGCTTAAGTGGGAGAGCACCTGTCTGCCTAGCAAGTTCAAGGCTCTAAGTTCAAACCCCAGGAAAAAAAAGAAGCCACAGACTATAACTTATCATCAAGGCAAAAACTATCTAAAACTAACTTCTCAAGAACTCTGTGAGGAATTACTATGTACAAGGAATAAATTTAGTAGAACTAAAAAGTAACCCAATCAACATCTACATAAATGTGTATAAATTTTGTCTATTTTAACTTTTTAAAAAAGCAACACTGAAGTCTTAAAAAAAAGAATAATACATTCTTTTCTACATTCCAGTGCACTTGTATTTTCTATCCTAAGGTAAGTTTTAATCCTGGCTATAACCCACCAAACTGATTTCTTGACCCACTTATAAGTGGGCTGAAACCTGCAACTCGAAAAACACAACTCTAGAGAACACAAAAATCACCCTAGTAAAATAGAACACCATAGCTAAATTACCACTCTTTAGTGGCCACCTTCTTTCACTGATGAAAAAAAGCTCAAAGAGTAAAAAATATCAATTAATGATGCTTTATTTTACTCTAGGAAGAACACAGGAGGAAATGCAAGACTTTATGACAGGAAAATATAAAACAGCATCTGAAAGTCATGATTTGACATTTAATAGTCATCATTAACACTTGTCATCTACCTCTGCTTCCTACATGTCCATGCTCCTGCATAAATACGTGTACAGTTATCTAGATATACCATATATGTAAATTACATAATATAATTATACAATACTATGCGTGTGTTTATATATATATACATATATATATATGTATATATATATAAATTTGTATTTTTTCCAGATCATTCTCAAAATGTCAAGATAAGTAAACATCAGATATGAAACAGGTTAACTAATCCCTAAGTACTTAGGCACAAAGCTGTAACTCTTCCAACAGAACAGTTTTGGCTATGCATCAAAATGTAATACAGAGTTCAAACAAAACAAATGGAAACTCAAGTGCTATCCCAGAAAGAAAATTTAAACTTGAAGTAGTAAATGTTATAGAATATATTTTGCAAACAATACATTCAACACCGTCTGGAAACTATTACATGCTTGAGATTATTATTTTTGGAAGACTACTGTGTGCCGTAAGACATGAGATTCTGGGATGAAATGAATGACTGCGGCCAATAAGTAGATGACCCTACCTTGGAACGTAATTAGAACACTCTCATTACGGACTACACGTTACAGTTTTGTCCTAACTTTAATGACTAAATTGTACAAAGAATTTAACTGCAGACATGCTGAAAAGGATCCTAGAGTAAGGTAGTCTGATTAAAACCATGGACCACACCAGTGTATTTCTATTCAATTTTTCTATTCATGACTTAAGTCTCTCTCTTCCCAATATACTCTCCTTCATCTCCAAAAAGATAAAGAACTGACCTGAATTCAGCACTCTCTCTGGGTTGATTCACTTCTACCACACTTAAAAAAAAAAAAAAAACCATTTAGTAGCAACCACATAGTACAAAAATTAGGTTTCCAAGACTTCTAGTAACTGAAATAGTTTTGAATACATCACTCAAGTAAAATTTTAGGAACATTAAAACCTTAAAGATTTTTGGTGGCTGAATGGGTATTACCAAGCTTAGAATTACTACTACCAGTGAGACTACATGCCACAAACACATGAATGAGTGACTACACAGTACCTTGATGAATAGACCAGTTACAATATTAATTTAGAAAAAAAAAATCAGCCATTTTCCTCTCGGTGAAATTCTTTATAAAGGACAAAACTGTACTATAAATGGCCCAAATAAGAATTATTTTGTTTGGTCAAATTAATACCTTAATTGAGGCATTTATCCAACTACTGGTTGGTCTATGATATAAACCAGAAATATAATTACAGACTAACACATGAATAATCCCTAAGCTATTTGAAAAAAGAAAAAAATTCAATCATAGAGATTGTGATTTTTTTAACCCACCATAAATCCATAACCACATCTGTAATCTAAATATTAATATATCTTAAAATATGCAATAATTACATATGGAATTATGAGCATTGATTCTATCCATGATCTTGGAGTCACTGTGAGATTTCTAAAGCATACCTTTTAATCCACGCCATGGTACTTCAAGAACATGTTAAGGTAAGTCACAGCTTGGAACACTTCGATGCACCTCAAAACACCTCAGCCAGTGTATCTGTATCATTCTTTCCTTTTGAGATCATAATGGTTCCGAAGAACTATAATGCTTCCATTTGAATGATAGTCTCATAATTTCAATGACTTAAAAACAAAAACAAAAAAATAAGGACTTAAGTATTGGTATGTGAAGTCACTAGTGCACTGTGCTAACTGCTGCCATGACTAAGAAAACACAAAGAAGCTGTTGCTGCTACTACACAACACTGTCATTTTTAATGTGAATCTTCCTATGAATTTCGAGAAGTCCAAGTGTCAGCCCTTGCTAGATCTTTCTAGGAAAGTCCCACAAATCCCTTTGTCCCAATTATTTCTTCATTTTCCTCCTCAAAAAATGATTAATAAACTGACAGGTATGAAGACTCACTAGGCACAGGTTCACTTCTGGATGATGACTATTCTGGGCCGAATGAGAGCTGGCCATCTCCCAGAGACTGGTCAGGAGTTCCTTCAAGCAATGCTCCTTAGGGTGTTAGTACTACTGAATCATTTAATTGCATGAAAATCATTAAGTTGAAAAGAGCTCCAGTTGCTAAAGCTTATTTCTATTAACAGAATGTGTATAAATGATAGTTGGCTATGATGTTGTTAAATAAATCTTGGTCTACAATCCTGTTACTTGGCATACAACTTCTAAAATCTTTACAATCTTCAAAGTGTTAAGTGCCTTTTTGTAATTGATCAGCTGACTGATCTGGCCATCTAGGTAGCTAACTTTTGGGTGAGGCTGGTAACCAGAAAGACCAAGGCAGGATAAGAGGTTTGGACTTTCTGCCCATCCCACAACCTCTGGGAAGGGGAGAAGGGCTGAGGTTAAGTTGATTATAAATGGTCGATTTAATCCATCAAGTCTATATAAGGAAAACTTCCACAAAAATACAAAAGGACAGGGTTCAGGGAGTTTCCAGACAGCCCAACAGGTAGAGAGGTTCCTAGTGGGTATAATATGCCCTGAGAGAGTATGGAAGCCCAGGCCCCTTCTCCCAAACCTTGCTCTACTCATCTCTTCATCTGGTACTCACCAGTCCCCTTTATAATAAACCAGTAAACACAAATGTTTCTCACAGTTCTATGAGCAATTTAACGAACTCGTGGATGAGGTTGTGGGAACTCTGGATTCTGTCCATCAGAATCACAGGTAAAACAACCTGGAGCTTGTGACTGGCATCTGAAGGGGAGGGGGCGGTATTGGGGACTGAGCCCTTAACCTGTGGGGTATGATGCTATCTTCAGGACAGCCAAATGGATGGCAAATTGCTTGTTTGCTTTTATGTAGGAAAAAGTTTCTGTGTTAAATGCTGTAATATGAGAACAGAGAAAAAACTGCTTTATTCAGAATGGCTAGCCATCAGGTTTTACTGCCACTCTGTGATCGCCTGATTGACTCGACAGGCACTGTCCCTCTTTCTTCACCACGTCCCATCTTTCTTATATAAAACATTAAATGGTCCATAATTAAGATATAGCAAGAAGTACAGTACATTTCCACATCTACTGGGAATTCAATTGCCTTTCCTGTAAGTTTAATTTATGCAGCTACCAGAAATAATACTTGAATTACACAAATAAAGTAAAACCAACCAAATAACTTATCAATAAATACATACATTTACTGTCGTAAAGCAATTAGAATTACTTTAGGATGACAAAGCAGGAACCTTTTAATAAGGTTAAGCCATTAAAAAGGGTTCAAAGAAGGAAAGTAGATAAGGAAGACTTTGTCATACATACTCCAGGCATAGGAACAGCTGGTGAAAAGGTGAATACACCAAGAATAGAAGATGACAAAGTTTTCCCACTGGAGCTAGAGCATGTGCAAAGGAGAAAGTGAATCTACTTCCTGTTTGAAAGGGTAGTCAACTGATGAAAATCTTTCAAGTCCAGTGTCAGCAAAATGATTTATTTCTAAGGTTTAGATACACTGCATTTTGTGGATAATGCAGATTACAAACAAAGTTTTCCCACTGGAGCTAGAGCATGTGCAAAGGAGAAAGTGAATCTACTTCCTGTTTGAAAGGGTAGTCAACTGATGAAAATCTTTCAAGTCCAGTGTCAGCAAAATGATTTATTTCTAAGGTTTAGATACACTGCATTTTGTGGATAATGCAGATTACAAACCAGGGCCACTCTTCAGAAACTTGACAGTGGTGGTGAACTTGACTGGAATAGGAAGAAAAAAATCAATGAGGAACAGAAGCAAAGGACTTGGTGAAATGAAATCCCCTGCCCATAGTCAGAGCCATCTTTTCAAACTAATGATTTTACCACTTTAGCGTTCCCTTTCCCTCCACTCCTGCTTAAAACTAGTGTGTGTGTGTGTGTGTGTGTGTGTGTGTGTGTGTGTGTGTGTGTGTGTGTGTGTGTGTCTGTCTGTCTGTCTGTCTGACTGTCTCCTGGGAAAACATCACATTGTTTCCTATATTCTGCTCCTCCAAATAAATGTATCCTATACAGGATGACCAGGTTAAGGTTCTTGAAACACAGCTCCTCCCTGCAGAGAAAATTTATCCACTGCAAAGTAAGTCAAGATATAAATATATTAGATAATAAAGAATGAAAATCTAAGTCTGAAGGACTTACTTCTTCACTCAATTTTCAGAATCCTATTTTACAGAGAATATACACCTGTCTTAAGTGACTGACTCAAAGAATACATATGTAAAAATAAGACTTAAATCTGGGTCTTACGGCTGAGATTTCAGCAAATTTCCTACAACAGTATTGTTGGGAAAAGAGAGTAGTATTAGTGCCAATATTTGTTAATAATATAACAAGTACATGATAAGCACTTGATGGTACTTTATTTTATCCAGATCTACCTTCTTTGACAGGCAAAGAGACCGAGTCAAGTCAACGTCACATGTAAGAAACTAAGGTGGCAGAACATACATTTAATTTCAAATATGAAGTCCACACTGATATTGTTAAACCAATCTTTCTTCCAGAAGCAATCAAGTCAAACACATAAGTTTATTTCTCACTGATTCATATGGCAATAATCTAATTATATAAATACTTCTCACACAAAACCTGGTCAGTTTCATTGCTCAAAACAATATATAAACAGTTATGCCCTAGCAAGGGACCATATGCACATTTACTAAAGTTGTTAAGAAAAATCATAATCATATTTAATCACTCAAATTAGAAATATCATTTGAAATGAAATCTAATTATGCCCTTGACAATCTTTTATGGCTAACTTAACTACAGAAGTTATCAATATAAATTTAAGTTGACAAAACAAAGATGACCGTGAAAGATATTTTCCTTAAAAGAGTGCACTGCCAAATTTGTTTAACTTTGTCTTGTTTCTTAACTTGTAGTGTTTCGAATTTTATCCTCCTGGAGAAAGAAATTATTAGCTGGGGAAAATAAAACCAGGCAGTAAGATTACCTAGCATAATCTTACTTCTGGGAAATACCCAACTGGGGACATCCTAATTTTCAGGAACATTAAAAAAATTTCTATCAAGCTGCCATGTGATTACTCTGCTCTTAAAGTAGCAAGCGCCCCTGCCTCCGTCAGGATAAAGAGGCATGGGTTAGTGTTTATCACATGTCACCTGTCTCGGAGCCCAAACCTGGGAGGATAGGAAAAAAGGAAAGAGATGGAAAAACAGTGGTTCAAAGGAGCCAGTACAGGGTGTTGGGAAACATAGTAGTATAGCAAATAAACTGTAAACACTACTACACAATTTATTCAAAATGAGCAAATCATAAAAAGCTTTTCTTTCTAGGACTTGAGAGGGAATTAAGTAAGAGGTGGTAAATAGCCTGAATCAAACTTACCTCTAAGTTATTCATACTTTTTATGTATGTATTTATTTAAAATAGTTTACTGGCGAATAAAGTAAGAGGTGGTAAATAGCCTGAATCAAACTTACCTCTAAGTTCTTCATACTTTTTATGTATGTATTTATTTAAAATAGTTTACTGGCGAACCAAGTTTTTATTCTTTTTCCTCTCCTTTAGCTTCGCTACATGGGTCTCTTTTTGCATAGAAAAATTGCAAATTTTGGTGGCCTAAGTTTATGTGGTCTTAAGTGGTAAAGAATGTGAACAAATTCTAGACTGAGGAATCAGGACTCACAGGTTAAAAACAAATTGGATATATGACTTCTGATGAGATGCTACTTCTCAGTAGCTAATACCAGCAAAACACTGTATTAATAATTCATGAGAAAGTGTATGTGAAAGCACCTAAATACTGCCTAACAGTAACTATAAAAGTTTATTGGCTCCGAAGACATAATTTGGATTCTAACTTCTACTGATATCACAATTCTAAAATCAAAATATTTACCTAGTACTTTTTGAACTTAATGTTTGAGAAATACTTATGCCTGAGTTTAAAATTTTTCACACTCATGCAATACAATCTCTGCCTCTAATTTATGCTTCCAAACATTCTCTCCTTTGTCTTGACAAATTCATTAGCCCAAGAGATCTACCTGTCAGCCTTTTTCAAGCATCAAGGATACCTAAGTATACAAATCAGACCTGAATCCTTGGCAGTTTATACTTTACAGTATAATCAGCATGTCAGATGGTGATAAACTCTATGGCAAAAAAGAGAAGGAAAAGAAGGTGATGGGGTGCAACTATAAGTAAGCCCTCAATGAGATGGTATTTTTGAGTAAAGATCTAAAGAAGGTGGCAAAAAGGGATAAACAGCAGGCCCAAGGGCAACCAGTGTGGCTACAACTCAGTGACTGCAGGACAGGGTAGTAGTGTGTCTTGGATGAGAGGCTGTGGAAACATGCACAGGCATGTGAATGTTCTTAGGGGAATGTAGGTCTTGGGCTTTTTGCTGCAAATTTTGAGCAGAGGAAAGAAGATCAAGATCTAAAGAGTAAGATCAGGATGACTCTGACTGATGAGGGGCAAGGGAAGAAACAGGAAAGACCAGTTAGGAGTCTGTTGTGACAATGTAGGTTAAAGATGCAGATTTAGATCCCAGTGGAAGTGAGGAAGTGTCAGAAGTGGCAAAAGTTTAGGTATGTTTTCAAGACAAAAGAAGATTGCTGTCAGGTGCCAATGGCTCCTGCCTGTAATCTACCTACTCAGGAGGCAAAGATCTG